TATCCTGTGAAACAAAACTTTCAACACATATTTAAAAAATAATACTTAGATATTTTCCTCTGAGTTTGTCTTCATTCTAATGCTTAATAGATATGTAACCAAGTCATTAAAATTGATAAGGTTCAATAATATTCAAATTTTAAAATGGGGTTAGCATTTACAAACTACTGAAAGGAGATGAAAATAAAAGTGACTGGCCCCAGACATGAGAGATGTTCACCAAACAGTTAGTTAATATTACTGGACCAGAACAGAGGTGATGTATTATGACAGGCTTTAGTGTGTGGCTTATTCTTCTTATGTGTAAAATTTCTACTACACTTTACAAATTTTATTGTACAAGGTTGCCACAGAGCCCCAAAATGCATGTAAATTAAAAGCCATCTGCTGTTGTCCTCTTCCCTACAGAAGTTTCAACTTTTCCTTACCTTCTTGTAGACATATTCCTCCATATTGATGGTTAGCTGGTATTTAAGGAATCCCTAATAACAATTTTGGGTTGTTGATTTACATACATAATGGACCTTGCAACCTCTTTGTATACATAATAGTTCTCTGGGACTGCATATTTTAACATGAGATTCCTGAATCCTACTCCTAGAAATTATTATGTCTGGGGTGGGGCCCAGGAATTTGGTTCACCACTCATACCTAACATCTTTTATGAAAGAAATGATCAAATCTTAAGTTGATTTTCTTTAAAACAAAAAATTTTTAGAATCAAACATTTCATTCATGTTGTTTCATTATGAGCATTTACTAAGTGTAAGACTCTGTCGTAGGTGGGTTTTACATGTTACGTCCTTTCATCCTGGCAATAGATCAGCAAGTGAAATCACAGTTTAACACATTGGGACTCAGAAAGCTATCGACAGTCCACAGTCATGCAGAATCCTAATTTGAACAAATGTTTGCTTGAATTCCAAAGCTTCTGCTGAAGGTTAAAGAGACTAAGTAACTTGTCACAGGTCACAGGGTAAAGTATGGCTGTAAAGTCAGATATTCACACTCCTACTCTAGTCCTCTTTTGGAACATGTGTAATGTGTATCCTGTGGAGAAGAGCAAATCTTAAATAAATGGAAAATATTATAGGTTGAACAAAGATGACTAGAATAAACAGCTGTCTAAACATTTCAAAATAGTATGTCACATGATTTCTCCATGATATAAACATTAATGGCCTTTTAGCTAATGATTGATTTTTCCAATTAAATGTTAAGTGAACTCTGGAAGGTATTTTTCTGCTCATAATTGTTTCCCCTAAAAGATTTTTGAGGAATTATTTTCAAAATGTAAATTCTTCCGGATAGATTAAGATTGCCTATATCCTTGAACTGCTCCAAATCATGATATTTATCATGTCAATTGCTTTTTTAAAGTTTGTGTTCTAGTTTGCTTCTTCTGTTCCTTAATAATCTATAGTTCCAACACCATAATATATTTATCCCTCCCCTTTCCTTAGTTTCTCTCTGTCTTTTTCCTCCCTTCCTTTTTTCTTCTTTTATTTAGAATGCTTACTGAAGTATTATAAAGCAGATATCAGGAACACTGCCACATGTTTGATAAAAAACAGTAGAAGACCTACCTGCCACCCATGCAGTCACAATCCTTAGCCCAAGTAGACCGTAAATAGTGTGTCTAACTAATGTGTATACATGAATAAAATGTGGCTTCTTTTATTTGTGTTAATACTTAAGCATAAAAAGAAACAAACTGGAAATACACTTGATACGAACTAATTTTGAATTGTCAGGACACGTGTCTCTAAAATTCTTTTGAAGTTTTAGGATAAAGTAAGGGGAGCTAAAGTTTACCTTGTTGGGTGGGGGAACCAACTATGTGAAAAATCCATTATACAATTCTGAAATGTGCTTAGTCTTTATTTTTGACTGCTGCTTTCACTAAGATTACACAAGGATTAAAGAAAAGACAAGTAACTACATGTCTTCTTTCTTGAAAAATCTATTTCGTCTTTATGGAATGTAGTAAAATAGTAAAAGGTAGGTGCTAGAGGAAAAAGGACACAAAGGAGCGAGGAAGAAAATCTACATGCTATCTCTTTAGTCCCAGGGTACCAGAGCTTTGGCAGTATGCTGAATTATCAATATTCATATATTAGAGCTGAAACCCAAGAAGCTGAAATCCAACAGCTGAAACGCTTTCCTTCCATAATGTATTTGCCAGACGTGCAAAGGATTGGAAAAGATGGAAAGCTGGAAAAAGTTCTTGCTTTTCTAAAGTGTCCAAATGATTCTTTCTACAGTGCCCTACTTTTGTGAGCTCTATTTTTGCCTTAGGTCTATTCATTTCATTTATTGTTTTCTTCTCATGATTTAGAAATATGATTAGAGCTTACAGTGGGAAATGAGTTGGCTCAAGGAATTGATTCTTTGGTTTCAGGGAAGAAAATATAATTTTCATCTGAATAGGATGTATATTTTATGTAGTTTCTATTAGATATTAGATATACATATACATAAGTAAGATACACATAGATATACATAAATAAGAACTGAATAAAGAAGCAAAAATGGGGAGGACAGCACAAGAGAGAGAGAGCAATGAAAAAAGGAAGAAGGAAAACCAAGGAAGGAATAAATGAGGAAAAATGTGATTGAAAAAAGAATGAAATGGTATAAACATGTAAGTAACTGTAAATGATGAATCTGTAGTATTAACATCTGAATTCTATGACTAAATACAGAAATGATTAATAAACCTATTTTATACACCAGCAAAAGAAAGCTTTTTGCACATATATTCTGTGGTGAGAAAACAAGGAACCACAGCAAGCATAACAGAGACACTTATATATTGATGTAATGTTTATGAAGTGCCAAACAGCCTCACATTTTTGTTCTTTCACAACACACTGGGCATGCTTTTGGGATATTTTTTGAGAGAATTTGTCTTAAAAGTATCTGGAGGACTTAAAAAATGAATTATCTTAGTCCACATTATGCTGCTTTAAGAGAATGTCACAGAGTTGGTCATTATAATGAACAAAAATATATTGGCTCAGGTTTCTGGAGTCTGGAAAGTCAAGATCAAAAGAATGGCATCTGGGGAGGGCCTTTTTGCTGCATCATCTGATGGCAGAAGGGCAAAGAGAGGGCAAGACAGGGAGCAAAAAGGAGCCAAACTTGCCTAATTATAAGAAACTAACTCCCAAGATAAGGGCATTAATCTGTTCATGAGGGCATTTCTCCAAGGACACATATTCCATTAGATACTACCTCACAATATCACTGCATTAGCAACCAAGTTCCCAGCACATGAACTTTGGGAGACATGTTCAAGCCATGAATCTAATAGGTTTAAGATTTCAATCAGTGATTTTCAGTATAAGAAAGAATTAAGAGGAAAATGTTTTATGGTTGGCTTAGATTTGATTTACTTTTTTATTTTCTTCTGAGTATATATAATGCAGTTGCATTTAGAGAAGCTGGACAAGAAAGGTTTTTGCATGTTTTTAATTGTGCAAATGTCAAATAAAGTATTGTATTACTTTACTACGTGCTACTTCAGAGCTAGGATTTCCCAAGTGTATTAAATGTTCAGTTTAGCATTTAAATTTCACTTAAAAATACGCTTCTTTAGAAAATATTCCTTTGGCTAATCCATGCATTTTATTCAATATTCAATAAATATTAAAGGCTTGTTATCTCCTGGAATTCTACTGGGCACAGGTTATATAGCTATGAAAGAAAACATACAAGAGTTTGGCAAAAGGGTGTTATATGTAATGAGAGAAACAATATAAATAAGTAAATACACAGTAATACAAAATCTTCAGCAGAAAAAGGTGCTATGAAAAATAGTAAGTAGATATTTAAAGGACTGAGTGCAGCATATATATTTTGCAGGAAATCCCAAACGTATTAAATGTGAACACCAAAAACTCATAAGAATACCAAAAATAGAATTGTTGTGTATCTACTGTGAAACAGACACTTTGCAATATTCTAAGTACATACACAGAGTTAGACCCTAATTTATTTCTCACAAAATCTCAACCTGGAAGATATTACTATTCCCATTTTTCACATGAGAGAACTGTGTGTTATAGATGCTGTGCAACTTTTCCCATGATCATACATCCAGTATGAGAAAGCAACAAACTAAAAACAAGGAATTGTGTTTTTACAAGGCCATTGCTCTTCATTCATTATTTTACTGGTTTTAAAACACCAAAATGGTTTAAATAACATGAGAAAATCGGAAAAGTGAGATTTGAAATTGGAATCATGATCAACCTGATTAGAAAAAAAAAATGTTAATGACTCAAATCAAACACATTAAACTAACACACTTACCCCTTATTGAAGGAGCTTGTTGATTTTAATGAGATATTTTCAACTATTTTCTTGAACAGCCTGTAAGAATAAACTCAAGCATGTTTTAATAATATGATCTTTTTGAGTGGGTACATGTTCTTTCAATGTTGATGACAACCCTAGCATCTAAATACACTGATTGACAATTTAGAGCCGTTTGGTTTTCTTTCATTTTTCTTTTACTTTCTATTCATGCTTCCTGCAACACTAGTGGTCTATGAAGCTAAGAGTAAATGAATGAACAATCACCATTTATATGCTCTAATTCTCCTACAGATATTTTATGATAAAATCACTTACGTTTCTTTTTGTTGTTATTTCAAAACAATAATGACCTATTTTTATCTACAATTATCTTCCATGTGCACTAATGAGATAGCATGCAATCTCTTTAGAAGATATCACATATTTAGAAACGCATTGCAGTTCAGATCAAGTATAGCTCTAATCTTGTTTTGCACAGTGATAAATGGAATATACACACACGTGTGTGTGTTTGTATTATATAGTCTAATTATAAGTTCTATGAATATTTTATTTCTTTTAAATTACTGGCTGGAGATGACCTGAAGAAATGATAGTGAAGATTTCTGAGCTAAGGTTTACTGCAGTACGCAAAATATCTTTGTATTTATGTAGATTTTTTTGTTTTGTATTTCTAGAACCTCGACCTACTGGCTTACTCGCATCCAGTCTTTTCTCTACTGCAATGAGAACGGCCTCCTAGGCAGCTTTTCAGAAGAGACGCACTCGTGCACGTGTCCGAACGACCAGGTGGTCTGCACCGCGTTCCTGCCCTGCACAGTGGGAGACGCCTCTGCTTGCCTGACATGCGCACCAGACAACCGCACCCGCTGTGGCACCTGCAACACCGGCTACATGCTCAGCCAGGGGCTCTGCAAGCCTGAAGTCGCCGAGTCCACCGATCACTATATTGGCTTTGAAACTGACCTGCAAGATCTCGAAATGAAATATCTGCTGCAGAAAACGGACAGACGAATAGAAGTCCATGCCATTTTTATCAGCAATGACATGCGCCTCAATAGCTGGTTTGATCCTTCCTGGCGTAAGCGGATGCTCCTCACCTTGAAGAGTAATAAGTACAAGTCAAGTCTGGTCCATATGATTTTGGGTCTCTCTTTACAGATTTGCTTAACTAAAAACAGCACGTTGGAGCCAGTGTTGGCTGTTTATGTCAATCCCTTCGGAGGCAGCCACTCTGAGAGCTGGTTTATGCCTGTGAATGAAAACAGCTTTCCAGACTGGGAGCGGACTAAGTTGGACCTCCCCCTGCAGTGTTATAACTGGACATTAACTCTGGGGAACAAATGGAAGACATTTTTTGAGACAGTACACATCTACCTGAGGAGCCGAATCAAGTCCAACGGCCCCAATGGTAATGAAAGCATTTACTACGAACCTCTGGAGTTTATTGACCCTTCCCGGAACCTGGGCTATATGAAAATCAATAACATTCAAGTGTTTGGCTACAGCATGCACTTTGACCCTGAAGCAATTCGGGACCTGATTTTGCAGCTGGACTACCCCTATACTCAGGGATCCCAGGACTCAGCACTTTTGCAACTACTAGAGATCAGAGACCGTGTAAATAAACTCTCCCCACCTGGTCAGCGTCGTCTAGATCTTTTCTCTTGCTTGCTTCGTCATAGACTCAAGCTGTCTACTAGTGAGGTGGTGAGGATCCAATCTGCTCTTCAGGCGTTTAATGCCAAATTGCCAAACAAAATGGATTATGACACGACCAAATTATGTAGTTAACCATAAATGTCAAGCACAACCCAAAATCTTGAAGGAGTTTTTACAGTGCTTTTGTGGAACAGTTTATGTTTGGAAGAGTAAATTTAAATTGTCTTTTCAATATCTGTCTTATATCAGTCAATAACATTGGATGGAAATTTACACACATGAACTTGCTGACAATGAATATATTATACTGCAGTTTTGGTTTATGAATGAAATAAATACTGACACCAGTCTAGAAGACATTCTACTTTTTACAATAAATTTCATTTGTAATTTTATATGTTCCGTGGCAATGCTTTTGTGCATTACATCCTCTAGCGGGAACATAAAAAGATACCAATAAAATTTTGTAGCTGAACAGTTATTAAAAAGAAGTGCTGTGGGATTCCTTTTTTCCATGAAATGAGTTCTATTTTGGTATAGTTTGTTAGAACCTGGGGAAAATTCACCAAGACTTTTTAATGGAAACATTTGAAGGTCTCTTTCAATTATCTTTATGGAAAACCCAACTAGATAGAATACTTATTATTCAGTTTTTTTGTTTTGTTTTGTTTTGTTTTTGTTTTATGGTTAACAGAACAACGACAGTAGTATGTTTATTACCTGTATTTAGGAAACCAATACTAGAGACATAATTATAATTAAAGTATTCAGATAAACTAATTCTTAAATATCAGAACATTTTGGCAAACATACAGAAAAATCAGTGTGATAATAAGGTATATCATGGAGAAAGCAAACCCTTAATTTCCTTAGCAACTTGCTTTCTCCTTCCCTTTCTACATTCTAGGAACCAGTAATCAGCTCACTCGGCACAATTATTTTAATTTCAAGTCCTGAAAACCTAGTTATTCCAGCACTTTATCCGTGTCAATAAAACATTCTAGAGTTCACAAATTGTAAAGTAATGGTATAAAATAAATGTTCAAATAACTAGTTCAAGCATAAATAGATTTGTTTCCCTCTCCCAGAGAAGCTCATAATACTAAAAATATTTTGAGGAGAAAATGAGTTCAACATGAAACCAATTTTAGTTCAAAATGGTGATCTGAAAATTAAGTTCCCATTTATTTGTGAAATAATATTAGATATATTATTAGTTTTTTTTCTGTAAACTTGAATTTCATTTGTGTTTAACTATGTGACCGTATCTGTAAAATGTGTTTTTTGCTATTTATCACTCAGCTCTATTCTAGATAGCTTATAAATATTTTCTTATTACTTAACCAAATCCATTGTCCAGGCCAGACCATTTCTTGTTGGTCATGAAGGCATTTCTCAGGACACAGAGAAAGAACCCCATGGCATGGATGAAAAAAAGAACTGATAGAACAAACATTAGAATACAGCCATTCTTGATTCTTGGGTTATTTTTAATTCCTAAGCATTTAAGAGCAAAAGACTGTTCAGACAGAAAATAACCAATACACCATAAGCAAAGAATTGTTCTTCCACCTAATATATGCGTAGCTGAATGTCTTACTTCGGTTAGCTGATTTTTTAAAAAATATTAATTTCTGTCATAGTAGGTCATTCAACAGAAAATTTATCTTAGTATTAAACACCATCTTTCTGGAATCATAGAAATTATTATTTTTGTTTAATTTTGACAATAGCACTAAGTTATAAATTATCATTCTCATTTTCTTGGTGAAAATAACAAAGGTTCATGGTGGCTTGTCAAGCTCCCCAAGATCACAAACTAAGTTGAAATATCAAGATTCCAATATAGACTTCTCTGGAACAAATTCATCCTCTTTTTATTGCACCACTGAGCATTAACTGAACCATCATATTTCTGTATTTAATTTCATTTCATGCAATGGCTTATGGTGAAACAGGAGTAACCTAAGAAATTGAGGTCTAAATCAGTAAACATTATATGACACACACTCACAGTACTTCCAAAACATTATATAAAGCTGGCATTGATCATACACAATTAGTCATCCACAGGGTGACCAAGTTTATCAAACATAGACACTATGTTTCAAAAGACACATACTATAAAAGTCAGAGATGCCTCCAGAACCTTTTCCAGAAGAGTCTTGAAGGTCCAGCTATCTAGAGCCTTGACACCCAGAAACCATCTGAGCAACATGCACAATTACCAATGGACTCTGAAGAACATTAATTTCATTGCACTTGAAAGAAATTATCAGGAGTGCTACTTCTTTTATTGCACAGCTAACTTATTCCTGGCCGCCATGTGAGAAAGAAGACCTATGACCACAGGTAAGAAAGTTCATAACTGGGTCTTATCCTGGGACTCCTCATGTCTGGCAAGTCTTGTCACAAAGGTCCTATTCAATAAAATAAAAGGAGCTCCAACTCTTCTAGTGCTCTGCCAGTGAGTGTTTAATATCTCTGAGTCAAGGTTTCTCCTGAAAGGAGAGAAGTAATATCAATACCTTTTTCTGAATGTTGTGTCTAAAATAACATGAATACAATCTACATAAACATTCCAAGCAAATTCTACAGGGATATATAGAGTTAGAGGATACATGACTAAAACATAAACATATTTTATGTTTCCATTTCTCACGTATTACCACCTATTAAGAAATGTCCAATAAGAAATAGACTATATTAATAATCTAAGTTAATACAACATGAGTTACCAATGTATAAGAAAAATGCAGTTCAAAAACATTTAATTTTTCATGAATTGGCTTATATGCAACCATTTTCGCTCACTGTGACTTTAGGAAATTGGGTATTTTTAATAAAAACTTTTATTTTAAAATTTCCAATATAAACTTTATTGTCAAAACCTTATTTAGAATGAAAGATATATTTGAAATCATGTTTCAAAAATAGGACATTTTACTTCATTTAGATTCTTGATATCCACAAATTCATGCCTCTAAATTTATCTTGAAGTTAATAAATTCAATAGTACTTGAACTTCTGAAAATCAAAAATTTATTGTGAATACATTTCTTCTAGGAACACCTCTTAGTGCACCAACTATTTTGATGACCATGACAGTGTGACTTGACTTGCAATCTCTGGAATCTCAAGTTGCATTTTTGCAAGGTGAATCTGTTTCCAAATGTTCCCTCTCAGCTCAAAGAAATAAAAATGAAAATGCAGAAATAGCTGATGGTCTCAGGTGCATTTCAATAATACAAGATGATTCACTTTCTCTTCTCTCTCTCTTCCGCTCTCTCTCTCTCTCTCACTCTTGCTCTCTCTCTCTCCCCCACCCTGCCCTGTCTTTGTGGTCATTCTCAAAATGTGAAGAAATAGCTTGGAATGAACCAGGACCATGGACTGTTCTATAATCCTATACAGACCTTCTTTTGTTTTCTTCATTGTGCACATTGAAAAGCTCTTCATTTTGAACAGATATGAAATATGTTCATTTGAATAAAATAACCCATTTGAAAAAACTTAAGAGCAAAATAAGACTATATATACTTGCTAAAGTGGAAGTTATAGAATACAGGAATTCAACTGGAAGGAAAGTGAAAAGTTTTGGAAACCAAATAGAAAAGACACCTTTTACATAATAAACTTGGTATAAAATTTTAAGAGGCTACATACAGGTTTTCCAATTCAATGTGACAAATGAAAATAACATTTTAAATAAACCAAACCACACTATGATAACAGTACCACTCTGAGTCTGTGCCTGGACGATTTTAGTAGAATAATAACCATTTAGCAAACTTAGACGTTTTCCCTCTAGCCTTAAGTATAATATTTATCATTTGATTCACATATGCTAGTATCCTTAGGAAGTATAGTCCAGTCGGTTGAATTTTTAAAACTTGAGAGTTTACACTTTGTCATTCCTATTTACTATACCATCTGTTTATGCTGTTGCTATTGACATTCTTTCTTTCCTCCAACTATGAGATCAGATTTCTAATTCTATGTCTAGTCTTTCCTAGTCTAATAATTTCAAGAATTATAATTCAGTCAGTTTGATAATTCCAGTATTTGGCAAGTGCATCTTAGTTAGCAGGACATTTTTACAAACATCTCCGTTTCTTTTACATGAAGGCAACATTAGTTACTTTAATGAACTATGAATTACTGGTAAATTAGAATATCCATGTCAAATTATTTGATACTTAGGACATGGCAGCCAAGTGTAGTAAATTAGTACAATGAAATTCAAAGTGAAGCAAAAATATTACTCTTGAAATTCTGCTGTGTGCTAGCAATCGGATTAACCAATGAATGATTGAAGTACTATTTTATTCTACGATGACAGAATATGGCTATCACATAATAACTATAGTACTTAATATGTGAATAAGTGAATAGATGCGCAATACTTAGCATGAGTAGGGCAGTATTCTGAGAGCTTTGCAAATATGAACATTTCCAGGTAAGAGTAATCTCATCACAGGTTTCTGACTTGTCACTCCCTCTGTCCAGCATTATTACGGACACAAAACACTCATGAAAAGGACTTCAAACGTGCAAGAATGAATAAGTGTGGGAAAAAATGAGGTCCATATAAAATATTTGTAGCAGTAATAGAAAGCTACATAACACTTAATAACACTCAAACATCAATAATACTTAAAAATGTATTTACTACAGAAAACAGAAATCAATTTTATTAGTTTACATGAAAGTATTTAAAATGTATCTCATACTTTTGGTTTTGTTTGTATTTTATGGTGACGGGCAGTTTTAAAAATAAATATATATTCATTTTAAATCATTAAAATTATAAAAAAGAAAATGAAAGTAAATATTCACTTATGCACATTACATACTAGATATTTTAGAGATCTAGGATAATAAGCAGAAAACTATTATTAAAAAAATGTGTAATAAGTGTTTAAAATTCTTCTAAATAAACCTCTAACAATAAATTTCTAACGGAAACAAGGAAAGCTCTCATTTTTTGTTGAATAAAATAAAATATTACATTCTTATTTTTAATACAGTTGAACATTTCTTCCATCATAAGTTAGAAAATTCTAATGCAGAAGAATAAATCATAAAGTAGATGAAAATATAAGTTAGTTAAATATAAGAAATACACTTAAGGAATTATGAAAAAGTATAAAACTAAACTGACAGTTTTGGAAATACGCATTATGCTGTTAGAAGAATACACCAATACTGCAACAGATATCACTTCTAAAGTCATTTTATTTTATTATTACTATAAATTTTTTTTGTGACAGAATCTTGATCTGTCGCCCAGTCTGGAGTACAGTGGTGTGATCTCTGCTCACTGCAAGCTCCTCCTCCCAGGTTCACACCATTCTCCTGCCTCAGCCTCCCGAGTAGTTGGGACTACAGATGCTCACCACAACACCCAGCTAATATTTGGAGTTTTTAGTAGAGACAGGGTTTCACCCTGTTAGCCAGGATGGTCTCGATCTC